GAGTCTATGAACATAGCCACCGTCTCCTTGTCTGTCAGCGGGGGCTCTATTTGGGCATCCATCTCCCTCCACCTCTGGGCGTATTCCTTGAAGGACTCATCGTTCCTCTTGCTTAAAGTCTTAAGATCTGACCTATTTGGGGTTAGATTGATGTTATATTGGTAACGACGGAGGAAAGCATCCGCCAGCTGCTTCTAATTTTGGACTTTCCCTTTCTCCAATTGCATGTACCGGTTGAGGGATGATTCAGCCAGGCTCTCCTAGAAACAGTGGATTAGGAGTTTTTTGTTTTCAGCGTGTGCGACCATCTTACGACAGTACATCGTAAGATGCTTCTTACGGCAAGCCAGTCCAGCATACTTGGGGAAGTCCGGGACCTTGAATTTTGGCGGGAACTGGATGTTCTTGACCAGACGCATGTCTGCTGCCTCCTTGATGTCGAAGCTATGTCCCTCAACTGCCTTCAATCTTTCCTCCAAGGCAGAGATCTGTTGTTTGGACACCTCAGGGGTGTGAATGTGCATTGCCCTGGCGTCAGACTGCACAGGGGATTTTTGCTTAAAGAAGATTTCCTCTTCTTCTTCTTCCTCATGGCGAGATGCGCGGTCGCCATGAGCTTCCCCTTTGTTGAGGTTTTGTTGGCGCATGACCTCCATTAATTGCGCCATTTACTCCCGGAGGGTGCTAACCTCAGCGGTAAGTTTGCGATTCTGTTCCTCCAAATGCTCCATAGCTCTCGCCTTCTGCGCACGAGTTCAGATGGGAAGAGGACCAACCACTTTCTAAGATGCCCAAGAATGAATTTTATTAATGAAAATGAATGATAGGTGTGGGATTAGTATCTTCTAAAACAATGACTTAGGTATCATCCTTCAAGCTTACGCTTTGTGGAGTGCCATACCCACTTTGGTGTAATGGTTCCTTCCCTGTCATGGACTTGACAAGTATAACGAAGGTCACCATATACCTTAGTACATTTGTGCCTTCCTTGTGGATGGTTACAAATGTGCTCGGGGCCTCTTTCGTCTTTGTCTTAGAGACATCTAATGCCCCCTAGTATGAATGTGTTTATGCATGAGAGATTTTATTAAAATGATGCTTATGTGTACTTTGCTTATTTATTTTCTCTCTTGGTTTTTTCACTTATGACATGATGTGATATGAATGATTTGACTTTGTCAAAAATTGTTTTATTCATCATTTTGTCTTTTCTCGATTTATTTGGTTTATTTGATTTTATTTGCTTTTTATAATCTTTTATCTCTTCTGTCGGACTGCGTGGCTACTTAGCTTACAAAGAACCTGAAACCAGGCTAGCTAAAAGGCAGACTGTCTGAGATAAAAACGGTTTATTGCAAAATAATAATTTTAACGTCCTATATCTCTTATGTCGGACTGCGTGACTACTTAGCTTACAAAGAACTTGAAACCAGGCTAGCTAAAAGACAAACTTTCTGAGATAAGGGTGTTTATTGTGAAAATATTTTTTTTGAGATTTTTTTTTATCTGTTGTATGTTTATGCTATGCAACAATCAAATGCAACAAACAGATGTACACACAATTCACTCATCCGCGAACAAGTAGGACGACGTTTTTAATCACGAGGTAGGGTTTTCCTGCAGAAGAGTGTATATTCAGGGTATGGTTCAACGCTTTTAGGTTATCTGATAACCGGGTTGGACCTAAAGGCGAGGTTTTCGGAAAAGGGTTATGGAGTCGCCACCAATGTTTTATCCAGAAACATTGGAAAAGGAAAAAAAGAAGGTGTTGGTTTAGAAAAACCAACTTTGGCCATTATAACTAGAGTTGGGTAAGGGAGTTAGTTACGTGTAGGGAAGGTATTAGCTTCCCTATGACGCTCCTTTCGGGTTCCCTATGATGGACCGTTTATTTTATAAATAAAGAACTCTAAAACTATGCTTTTACCCTTATTTATTCATTTTCGGAATTTAAATTGTTGACTACATGGCCTTAACAGGTAATGCATAGTAGATGTAATAAGAAAGCGGTAAAAGAAGATAGGAAATGTATGAACCTTCGAAGCAAGCTTTGTATTAATGTTCTTGGAAAAGAAAGGTGCTTTTTGGCAACCTCCACGCTCTACAGTGATGATCGCTCTTTCTCGCAACACTACAGGACGCTTACTAAGAATACTAAGAAACTCCATAAATGCTTCGGAGGGGTCCTAGGAGAATAATTTGAAAGAAGTGCAGAAGGAAAAGTTGCTATGTGTGTCCTCAAGAAGGAGAATGCCCCCCCCCTTTTTATAGGAATTTGCACCTGTCAGGTCGGGATCGTCGTCTCGCCAAATGAGACGGCGGTCTCGCCTTCGGCAAGTGGCGAGACGGAGGTCTCACCAAATGAGATGGCGGTCTCGCCATTGGCAATTGGTGAGATGACGGTCTCACCAACGAGACGGAGATCTCGACCCTTTAGGTGGAATTTCTTATTTTTCCCATACAAAAATCCTTCCTGTTCTAAAATGGGGCCTATCGATCTATCCTAGGGACCTTTTAGGCCTTGCCCATCTTCGAACGGAAGTCTTCTGCTCTTTATTTTGAGGCCGGGCAAGATTAGGGGTCTACAGTGTAAAAGAAAGAGTATATTGATAAAGATATTTTTTCCTAAATCAAAAGAGCGATTAGGTTGAATAAAAAAGGATTCTTTATTAGCTCGTTATCCTATAACAAAAATTAGGTGAAAAAGCAATTAGAGAGAGTCTGTTGATGGGTTTTACTTGTTTTCTAGGTATATACCTAGAATTTCCTATTTTGACTATATCGAACTATGTATCATTTGATAATCCAATGAATCTCTGATTCTTTGTTTGACCAAATAGACTTTTTTTGAATGGAGCAATATCAAGCATATTTAGAACTCCGTAGATCTTGATATCAGGACATCCTATACCCACTTTTTTTTCGGGAATCTATTTATGGACTAGCTTATGGTCATGAGTCCTTTTTTATAGAAAATGTAGATTATAAAAATAAATTTAGTTTACTAATTGTAAAACGTTTAAGTACTCGAATATATCAACAGACGCATTTCATTATTTTTGCTAACGATTCTAACAAAAATTTTTTTGTGGGTTATAACTATAATTTGGATTCTCAAATAATATTAGAAGGTTTTGTTGTCCTCGTGGAGATTCTATTTTCTCTACAATTCTTTATCTCTTCCTTAAGGGGATTAGAAATTGTAAAATCTTATAAAAATTTGCAATCAATTCATTCCATTTTTCCCTTTTTCGAAGATAAACTGATATTTTTAAATCATAAGTCAGATATACGAGTACCCTATCCTATCCATCTGGAAATCTTGGTTCAAATCCTTCGATATTGGATAAAAGATGTCTCTTTATTTCATTTAATAAGGTTGTTTTTTTATTACTATTATAATTGGAATAGTCTTTTTACTCCAAAAAAATGGATTTATACTTTTTTTTCAAAAAGTAATCTAAGAATTTTCTTGTTCCTATATAATTTATATGTATGGGAATATGAATCTATATTTCTTTTTCTACGTAACAAATCCTCTCAGTTACAGTTAAAACATTTTCACGTTTTTTTTGAGCGAATTTTTTTCTATGAAAAAATAGAACATCTTGTAGAAGTATCTACTAAGAATTGTTCATATACCTTATCATTTTTTAAGGATACTTTCATCCATTATGTTAGATATCAAGGAAAATCCATTCTGGTTTCAAAGAATACTCCTCTTTTGATAAATAAATGCAAATACTATTTTATCTATTTATGGCAATGTCATTTTGATATTTGGGCTGGACCAGGAACGATCCATATAAACCAATTATCTCAGTATTCATTTCACTTTTTAGGCTATTTTTTAAGTATTCCACTAAATCTTTCAGTAGTACGAAGTCAAATGTTGCAAAATTCCTTTCTAATCAAAATTGTTATCCAAAATCTTGATACAATAGTTCCCATTATTCCTGTAATGAGATCATTGGCTAAAGCAAAATTTTGTAATGTATTGGGTCATCCCATTAGTAAGCCGGTTTGGGCCAATTTATCTGATTTTGATATTATTGACCGGTTTTTGCGGATATGCAGAAATTTTTCTCATTATTACAATGGATCCGCAAAAAAAAGAGTTTCTTTCAAATAAAATATATACTTCAGCTTTCTTGTATAAAAACTTTGGCTCGTAAGCACAAAAGTACTGTGCGCACTTTTTTGCAAAAATTAAGTTCAGAAAAATTATTGAAAGAATTTTTTATAGAAGAAGATATTTTTTCTTTGATTTTTCCAAGAACTTCTTTTACTTTGCAGAAGTTTTATAGAGGTCGTATTTGGTATTTGGATATTCTTTTCAGAAACGATTTCGTCAATCATTTATAATTTAAAATAGGTTATGATACTTTGTAAATCGGTGTAAATTGATAAAATGAAATTCTTTTTATTAAATGAGGATAAAAAAATCATTTTTTTAGTATTCTATATCTATAGGATTTTGAAATGCTCATGTAGTAAGAGTCAAGATTCGGGGTTCATTAATTGAATATTTAACTTTCTTAGAGTCTTTTGCTAGGCAAGTAATTCAGGTTTAGATGTATGCATAGGGAAAGCCGTGTGCAATGAAAAATGCAAACACGGCTTGGGGAGGGATTTTTTCTTGTTTTATTCTATTGTTGAATTTTATTAAAGAAGAAATTATCTACTTCATCCGACTAGTTCCGGGTTCGAGTCCCGGGCAACCCATTATAATATAATTAATATATCGAAGTTAGATTATATATATATATATATATTTCTATATTTCTATAAATATAGCGATCTATAGAAAAGAAACTTTTTTATGAATCTATGAAATCGGGTAAAAAGTAAATTCGGATAAACCGAAATAAATAAGAACATACTATGGATATTAGTATTGGTTGACACTGGTATATAAGTCATGTTATACTGTTGAATAACAAGTCCTCAAATTCTCTAATTATAGAGAATTTTTGTGCTTGGGAGTCCCTAATGATTAAATGAACCGAGATTTTACCATGACTGCAATTTTAGAGAGACGCGAGAGCGAAAGCCTATGGGGTCGCTTCTGTAACTGGATAACCAGCACTGAAAATCGTCTGTACATTGGATGGTTTGGTGTTTTGATGATTCCTACTTTATTAACTGCAACTTCTGTATTTATTATTGCTTTTATTGCTGCCCCTCCAGTAGATATTGATGGTATTCGTGAGCCTGTTTCTGGATCTCTACTTTATGGAAACAATATCATTTCTGGTGCCATTATTCCTACTTCTGCGGCTATAGGTTTGCATTTTTATCCTATATGGGAAGCGGCTTCGGTTGATGAATGGTTATACAATGGCGGTCCTTATGAACTAATTGTTCTACACTTCTTACTTGGTGTAGCTTGCTACATGGGTCGTGAGTGGGAACTTAGTTTTCGTCTGGGTATGCGTCCTTGGATTGCTGTTGCATATTCAGCTCCTGTTGCAGCCGCTACTGCTGTTTTCTTGATCTATCCTATTGGTCAGGGAAGCTTTTCGGATGGTATGCCTCTAGGAATTTCTGGTACTTTCAATTTTATGATTGTATTTCAGGCTGAGCATAATATTCTTATGCATCCATTTCACATGTTAGGTGTAGCTGGTGTATTCGGCGGCTCCCTATTCAGTGCTATGCATGGTTCCTTGGTAACTTCTAGTTTGATCAGGGAAACCACAGAAAATGAATCCGCTAATGAAGGTTACAGATTTGGTCAAGAGGAAGAAACCTATAATATTGTAGCTGCTCATGGTTATTTTGGCCGATTGATCTTCCAATATGCAAGTTTCAACAATTCTCGTTCTTTACATTTCTTTCTAGCTGCTTGGCCTGTAGTAGGTATTTGGTTTACCGCTTTAGGTATCAGCACTATGGCTTTCAACTTAAATGGTTTTAATTTCAACCAATCCGTAGTTGATAGTCAAGGTCGTGTAATAAATACCTGGGCTGATATTATTAACCGAGCTAACCTTGGTATGGAAGTAATGCATGAACGTAATGCTCATAATTTCCCTCTAGATCTAGCTGCGATCGAAGCTCCATCTGTTAATGGATAAAATTTTGATCTTAAATTAAAGTAGCCGAGTTTTTGTTTGAAAGTAAAGGAGCAATATCAACTTTGTTAATATTGCTCCTTTCTTTATTATTAGTAATCTTTTTTTTTAGATTTATATATACGTTTTTGATTTATTTCATGATTCAATATCATTTTTTTCGTTTGTTAGAAAGAAAGAAAATGATATTGAAAGGGTAGAAATTGAGATATAGATTTTTTTTACATAACATAATATAAAAGGGCGGATGTAGCCAAGTGGATCAAGGCAGTGGATTGTGAATCCACCATGCGCGGGTTCAATTCCCGTCGTTCGCCCATATCTATATATAGATAGATATTGTTTAGGTTATTTAGTATTAATCTGAAATAAATCAAAATTGCTACTTCTAATACTTATAAGAATTATTAAAAATAAGAATTACTACAAAAGGGATATTTTTGAGATAAAATATATTAATGCATATATTTCACAAAAAATAATATATTTATATCGTGGTTTCGTCTTATAATACCTCGGGTGCTAATGAAACTATTTTAGTGAAATTTAACTGTCTCAATTCTCGGGCGATTGCGCAAAAGATTCGAGTTCCTTTTGGATTTCCTTCTTGATCAATGACAACTGCAGCATTATCATCATACTGAATTATTATACCGTTGCTACGTTTTAGTTCTTTACAAGTACGTACAATTACAGCTCGGATCACTTCTGATCTTTCTAAGTTCGTATTTGGTACTGCTTGTTTGATTACAGCAACAACAATGTCGCCAATATAAGCATATCGTCGATTACTAGCTCCTAGGATTCTAATACACATCAGTTCACGTGCTCCGCTGTTATCCGCTACATTCAAATGAGTTTGAGGTTGAATCATATCATTTTTTTATTATTTCAATCTAAAAATGGAAGTAAAAATATTTTGTGTTCAAAAAAAAAGGAACCTACGATTGCCTTTTTTGTTTTCATTCTTGTTTTCATTCTAAAGACCGCTTTATTTTGGTTCTCTTTTATTATCCTGAAATAATGAATTGAGTTCGTATCGGCATTTTGGATGATGCTATTGAAATAGCCTTTCTTGCTATATTTTCTGGTATCCCACCCATTTCATAAAGTATTTTCCCAGGTTTAACAACAGCTACCCAATATTCGGGAAATCCTTTTCCTGAACCCATACGTGTTTCAGTAGGTCTTACTGTAACCGGTTTGTCCGGAAATATGCGTACCCATATTTGTCCACCTCGGCGAATATTTCTTGACATTGCCCGCCGTCCTGCTTCTATTTGTCTAGATGTTATCCAAGCTGGCTCAAGTGCCTGAAGAGCATATCTTCCGAAACAAATATGATTACCTCGATAGGATATTCCCTTCATTCTTCCTCTATGTTGTTTACGAAATCTGGTTCTTTGGGGGTTATAATTGATGATTGTTTTTTAATTCCATCTTTATTACAGAACCGTACGTGAGATTTTCACCTCATACGGCTCCTCGCGAATGAAGTAATTCAAATATCTATATCTATATAGATTCAATCTAATCGATAAAAAAATATGTACAAATATTCATATGTTTAGTAAATAACGGAATCTCGGTATTTTTGGAGATTTCATACAATCTTGGAAATTTTGATATCTTGTTTTGAATATTGATTCTTAGAATTGGCAAAAATATAAAAAAATTCAATAAAATCAAAATTCTCGCGGGCGAATATTTACTCTTTTATTATCAAATTCCGATGTAATGAAATTCAGATGTAATGTAGGGCACAACTCCTAAAAATGAATTGCTTTTAGGTTTCTTCCGCCATCCCACCTAATTAATCATTAAGATTTGTTTGAAGGAAATCTTAAATATTTGCAGGTTTCGTCGTTCCCATCGCCTCTCGATTAATGGTTAGGTTTGAATTCGACAATGGAGCCTTTCTCCTATCTAATAATTAATAAGATTTTTTTACAATATTAATTTGTTTTTTTGTAAATCAATATTATCAGTTTTTATTGATTCAGAGCTCTTAATTTATTTACGTTACAAATATATAACAAATATATATATATATTATTTTTTTTAGATGAATGCTTTATTACACTACCTTTTCTGAGATGACTCATAGACCTTTAATATTCGAATTCTATATCATTGATATATTTTTATCTCTTTCTTTCACCTCTTCATTTATCTATATATTTTTATTGCTTTACAACTAAATAATCTTTTTTTTTATGCTTTACAATATTTCAGTTGCTATAATATTTCTTTTTTTCATTTCATATTTTTTGTTTTGACTAGTTCTTTAGCTCTAGATAATCCGAAGTGATGCGTTGGTTATTAGTTCTTTTTGAATTAATTTATACTATTAATTTAACTATTAGCCGGTTTATTTTTTTGTTAAATTTGAATCGTTCTAAAAAACTAACGAGTCACACACTAAGCATGGCAATACTATTTAGAAAGATTAATTTCATTTTTTAGTCAATTGAATCTTATAAAATAGATAATTTTTGGAGAATAAAAATCGAGTAATTTTTTATTTTTTGTTTTAGATAAAATAAATATAGGACATTTAAGATTAAAGAATAATATCTTTTTATTTAGTTAGAAAATATCCAAACTTTGATCCCTAAAACTCCATAAATAGTTCGAACTGTATAACAACAATATTCAATTTTAGCTCGAATGGTTTGTAGAGGAACCCTGCCTTCTCTGATCCATTCTACACGCGCAATTTCTTTTCCATCAATACGTCCTGCAATCTGCACTTGAACTCCTTTTGTACCTGCTTGTTCAGTTAATTCAATAGCTTTTTTCATTGCTTTACGAAATGAAATTCTATTCTTTAATTGTCCAGCTATAAATTCTGCAAGAATATTAGGATGTTTATAAGCATTTGTAACTTTTACAATAGCAATGTTTAGTTTTCTATTCACACAATTCAGTTTTTTTGCATATTCGTTTGTAAATTTTCCATTTTTTGAGGTTTACCCTCTATTAATAACTTGGGAAATCCCATATATATTATGACTTGAATCAAATCGATTCTTTTTTGAATCTTTATCTGTCCAATTCCCTCTACACCTGAGGATATTCTTCTATTTTTTTGTATATAATTTTTGATACAATCTCGTATTTTTTTATCTTCTTGTACATTCTCGGAATATTTTGTTGGTTGTGCAAACCAAATAGAATCATGACTTTGAGTTGTACCAAGTCTGAAACCAAGCGGATTTATTTTTTGTCCCATAATTCCTCACTACTTTCTAATCAACATGCTCCAAATTCTATTTTTTATTTTTTGTATTTTTCTATCTATAGATATAGATAGATATAGATCTTTATAACTCATTAAGTTTGTTGAAATTTCTATTGTGACTAGCATCGGCTACTGTAAAAGAAACAATTCAAAAAATCGAATAAAATAAGATATTCAACTAAATAAAGTATAAATTAAATAAAGTATAAATTCTAGTATCATATTGTTTTCTTTATGTACAAATCACATCAATTACTATTTGTACTTTGTGTTGTAAATAGACATGAACCTTTTTTTTGATTTGACCAAAAGACAAGGCTTCTTTCTGTATAGAGGTTCTTCTTTATCATAAGAGTCAAATAAATGAAAGAAAATATTTCATTTATTTAATTATTAATTAAATTATTAATTAAAAAATAATTTAATTATTATTATGAATTATTTAATGAATTCTAAAAGAAATGATTTGAACTTAATTTTACTAATAATTCAATTTTGTAATATTTATTTATGCATTACTATTTAAAAATTGATGTTAAAATGCACGTTAACGACGAGATCTATTATCATTTTTCGCATGTCCTCGGAAGTTTAGAGTAGGTGAAAATTCTCCTAATTTATGGCCTACCATACGATCTGTTATATAAATAGGTAAATGTTCTTTTCCATTATGGATAGCAATCGTATGGCCAATCATTGTAGGTATAATGGTAGATGCTCTGGACCAAGTTATTATTATATCTTTTTCCGCTTTTGTGTTAAGCTTATTTATTTTTCTTAATAAATGATTCGCTACAAAAGGATTTTTTTTAGTGAACGCGTCACAGTTAATTACTCCTTTTTCTTGTAAAGACGAAGAAACAATTTCTATTTTCTCTACTATACTATTTAGTACGACGACGAAGAATCAAATTATCACTATATTTCTTCCTTTTTCTACTTCTTCTTCCAAGTGCAGGAAAACCCCAAGGAGTTGCGGGTTTTTTCTACCAATTGGGGCCCTCCCTTCACCACCCCCATGCGGATGGTCTACAGGGTTCATAACTACTCCTCTTACTATAGGACGCTTTCCTAGCCAACATTTAGATTTGGCTCTACCTAAAATTTTCTGGTTTACCCCAACATTTCGCACTTGTCCGACTGTTGCCGAGCAGTTTTTGGATATCAAACGGATCTCCCCGTAAGGTAATTTTAATGTGGCCGATTTCCCCTCTTTTGCAATTAGTTTCGCTACAGCACCAGCTGCTTTAGCTAATTGTCCACCCTTTCCGAGTGTGATTTCTATGTTATGTATGGTCGTGCCTAAGGGCATATCGGTTGAAGTAGGTTATTCTTTTTTATCAATCAAAACCTCTTTCCAAACTGTACAAGCTTCTTACAAAGCATACGACTTTTTGGATGTAGCTAATGATATCCATACAGATGGATCTTATATATTACACAATGAAGTACGACACTAGTGGGTGTCGTCACCGTCAAAAGAGGCGGTTGGAGCGACGCGATGGTTTTGTTTGACTCGTGTTTTTAAAAGTGTGGTACAACGCCTTTAGGTTGTTCGATAACCGGGCTGGACCTAAAAGCGAGCTTTTCGAAAGGTTCGAGGAGTCGTCACCAATATCTTTACCAGAAACACTAGAAAAGGAAAAAAAGAAGGCAGTGGTTTTTTAAGAAAAACCAACTTTGGTCATTACAACCAGAGTTAGGTAAGGGAGTTAGTTACGTGTAGGGAAGGTATTAGCTTCCCTACAATGCTCCTTTCAGGTTCCCTATGATGGACCATTTTTTATAAAGAAATAATAACTCTAAATTGCGCTATTACCCTTATTTATTTGTTGCGAAAATTCAATTATTGACTACATGACCCTAAATGATTAATGCACAATAATGTTATCCAAAACAACAGTAAAGTAGAGAAGGGAGTATATAGGAACCTTCAAAACAAGCTTCTATAGTGAGTTCTTTGAAAGTGGGTGCTTTTTGGCAATCCCCACTGTCGTCGCCATCAAAAGAGGCGGTTGGAGTGACGCGATGCTTTTACTTTGACTCGCGTTTTTAAAGTGATGCAACAACTCCTTTAGGTTGTCCGATAACCGGGCTGGACCTAAAGACAAGGTTTTCGAAAAAGGGTTCTGGAGTCGCCACCAATGTTTTATCCGAAAACATTGGAAAAGGAAGAAAAAGAAGGCGTTGGTTTAGAAAAACCAACTTTGGCCATTATAACCAGAGTTGAGTAAGGGAGTTAGTTACGTGTAGGGAAGGTATTAACTTCCCTATGACACCCCTTTCAGGTTCCCTATGATGGACAATTTATTTTATAAATAAAGAACTCTAAAATTATGTTTTTACCCTTATTTATTCATTTGTGGAATTTAAATTGTTGACTACATGACCCTAACAGCTAATGCATAGATAGATGTAATAAGAAAGCGGTAAAAGAAGATAAGAAATGTAGGAACCTTCAAAACAAGCTTTGTATTAATATTCTTAGTAAAGAAAGGTGCTTTTTGGCAATCTCCATGCTCTACAGTGCTGATCGCTCTTTCTCGCAACACTACAGGACGCTTACTGAGAGCACTAAGAAACTCCGGAAATGCTTCAAAGGGATCCTAGGAGAAGAATTTGAAAAAAGTGCAGAAGGGAAAGTTGTTCTGTGTTGTGAAAAGGATGAGGATGCTGCCCTGATAGAAATTTGTTCCTGTCAGGTCGGGACCACCGTCTCTCCTGATAAGGTTGGGACCATCGTCTCACCAAACGAGACGGCGGTCTCACCTTTGTCAAGTGGCGAGACGGCGGTCTCGCCAAACGAGACGGTGGTCTCGCCATTGGTGATTGGTGAGACGGTGATATCGCCAAACGAGATGGCGGTCTTGCCAATTGCAAGTGGCGAGGTAGCGGTCTCGCCAAATGAGACGGCGGTCTCGCCAAACGAGACGGCGGTCTCGCCCTTAGCCAATGGCGAGACGGTGGTCTCGCCCTTAGCCAATGGCAAGACAGCGGTCTCACCCTTAGCCAATGGCGAGACGGCGGTCTCGCCAAATGAGACAGTAGTTTCAGCCCTTTAGGTGGAATTTCTTATTTTTCCCTTACAAAAATCCTTCATATTCTAAAATGGGGCCTAATGATCTATCCTAGGGACCTTTTAGGCCTTACCCATCTTCGAACGGAGGTCTTCTGCTCTTTTATTTTGAGGTCGGGCAAGATTTGTGGTCTATAGCTGCCCCCCTTCACCTGACTAGCCGACTGTTGGCCCGTTATGCCAAAATAATCGGCTGGAGGGTGAAGGAGTTAACCCTCTTGCACGGCTATCCTTCGGATGCTCCTTCTTGTGGTAGCCGACCCTCTAGACGAAAAATGTGTGTGTGCCTCTGGGATGCTCCTTCATGCGGTAGCCGACCCCTTTGGACAAAAAGGTTTGAACCTCCAGGATGCTCCTTCTTGCGGTAGCCGACCCCTCGATTGATGAGTATGAACCCCCATCCGGTTGCTTGTAACTTTTGAGATGCTCCTTCTTGCGGTAGCCGACCCCTCGGTTGATGAGTATGAACCCCCATCCGATTGCTTGTAGCTTCGGGATGCTCTTTCTTGCGGTAGTCAACCCCTCAACTGACAAGTCGTAGAACCTCAGGATGCTCCTTCTTGCAGTAGCCAACCCCTCGGTTGATGAGTATGAACCCCCATCCGGTTGGTACAGTCAACAATTGTAGGACTGAATGAGTATGAACCCCTCATCTGGCTGGTAGAGTTTGCAGTCCACCATTGTAGGACTAGATGAGTATAAACCCCTCATCTGGCTAGTAGAGTTTGCAGTCCACCATTGTAGGACTGGATGAGTATAAACCCCTCATCTGGATGGTGTAGTCCACTTTGTAGGACCGATTGCGACTTACTGCTCTGGCTCATGCGTAGGTTGGTGGGTATGAACCCCCCATCTGGCTGGTGCAGTCCACTTCGTAGTGTTAGAATCGCACAGCGGAATGTTCGCGTGGTCGGACAAAAACCAAGAGGGGGGTGAATTGGTTTCTTAATAAAAATTAGGTTTTCAAAATTTTCCCCAAATTTTACCGATTAAAAACTGTGTAAATGTAAATAGAGAAAGGGATAGAGTCTTACACAGGAAATTTATACTGGTTCGGATCAAAAGACCCTACGTCCAGTTGCTAATCACTCAACAGAGGATTAACGCTGTCACTATAAACAAATTGTTACAATACAAATTACAATGGAAGAGATAAAGTAAAAGATGACACCTCTCTTGAAACCCACAAGAGATGAAGAACAGTTTTCCCCAGAGACGGCACAACACACAATCCACTAAGAACTCCACTTAGTGATTCTTATCGCTTCTAGCCCACACCAGGTTCAGAAAGCCCCCTTTCCTTGCAACAAACAGTTCTCTGGCACTCACAGCACTTAACTTTTGTATGGAAAAGTTTGTTCTACTTTTCTGAGTGCCAAAGGAGAGTTTAAGTAGGGAAATTAGGGTTTAGAAAAAGGGGATTTCGAAACTAGGGTTCTTGGTAATTGGGTTTTCGAAAATAGGGTTAATTTGAAATTTAAAATGAAAAACAAACTGAAATAATCGATTAAATGGAGTTATAATCAATTAAAACAGAGCCAAAAAAATAGAACCCAAAACCTCTTTGTTTTAATCGATTATTTGAAGTTTTAATCGATTATTTGACCTAATAATCGATTATTTTGATGTTTTAATCGATTAAAACAGTGAGTATATACTGAAAATGGTTTTCTCACTGTTTTAATTGATTATTTCCCTATATAATCGATTAAAGCCGAGCCTGGATGATATATTTGGGCTTTTTGAAGCTTCTAAGTTGCAGACTATGTACCGGCTATCTCAAACTCTAAAATTATAGACTCAATCTAATTAAAACAGAGTTATTACAATACAAAACAAGTCTTCAACACACTAAGTCTTTGAGTTCTTGAATCATCATCAAAATTAACAATCTTCATGTTCATCAAGTGCAACATCAAGTCCTTGAATGTTCAACACGTAGGACTGGTGGTGGTGGCGGCTTACTGCTCTAGCTCATGCGCTGGTTGATGAGTATGAACCCCCCATCTGGCTGGTGCAGTTCACTTAGTAGGACCGATTACGACTTACTGCTCTGGCTCATGTGCAGGTTGATGAGTATGAACCCCCCATCTGGCTGGTGCAGTCCACTTAGTAGGATCGGTTACGATTTACTGATCTGGCTCATGCGCAAGTTGATGAGTATGAACCCCCTATCTGGATGGTGCAGTCCACTTAGTAGGACCGATTGCGACTTACTGCTCTGGCTCATCCACAAGTTTTGCCTGTGTGCATGTCTTTGTCTTCGAGACCTTCCTTGTCCCAAAGTGGTGGTGGTGGCTTACTGCTCTAGCTCATGCGCCATTTTCATGGGGAGTGATTCTTGCTTTGATAAATGTTTTTGACTTTTTACAGTCATCCAGTGTGTCGGGGATTTGTTGGTCTTCTTCCAGCTGGTTGAGTGCTGGGGATTCTTTGATAAATGCTTGTGAAGTAGGTAGGAATTCACTTAGAATTTGTTGGTTTTGATGGTGCCTCTTGAGTAGGTGGATATCCATTTGAGGATTTGTTGATGGTGCCTCTGAGTAGGCAGATGTTTCAACTAGAGGTGAAGGTTTCGTGCTTGCACTGTTTTGCCTCTGAATAGGCTGATATCCCATTATGGGGATGTTGGCTCTTTATTTGTCAAATCTTGCCTACGCATAGGCGAATGACCCTTATGGCGATGTGAGTCTGAAATTTGCCTTTGTCGTAGGTAGGCTCACTGAAGATGATTTTTCTCTTTTTGATGATCCACTAGGGATTAATTGCCTTCCCGGGGATCTGATTTTGGTTTGCCCCCTGGAGTTTTGACTTCTTGTTAGGTACTGGTGTGAGTTGGTTCTGCGATGCTCTTATTTCTTTGGGGAATGGACATTCTGTTTACTTAAAAGTTAGGATTTTAATTTCTCCTTTTTCCGCGATTTATCTCTTTTTTATCGCGATTTTGAAATCTGGCTTTTTTATGGGGATAATGCGTGCGCCTTTTTACTTTTTAGTTTCTTTTATGCACATAGACTTTTTTTTCTTTATGGGGATCCGCACGAGATAAAGTTTTCTTTGGTGATCCACTAGGGGATTGTCGACTTCCTGGGAATTTGATTTTTCTTTTCTAAGGATGGAGTCTTGGCTCCTTGATTGTATTGGTGGTGCGAGTTGACCTTGTGAAGCTCTTATTCTACTAGGGGATGGAGATTTCTGATTCTTCCTTTTTGTAGACTTTTCTGTGGAGATCCACT